GAAATGGTTAGTTAACCTTAATAACATCGTTAATTACGGATGATTCATACTTAACAAGATATATAAAAGCACCATTATCAATGCTTTACACAAAAAGACTAATTACTTCCAAAATTCATTGTTTATTTAAGCTTAATAACTCATGAATTAACTATTTTATTTACTGTGTACTTGTATGTAAATGCTCATTAATTTATTACTAAATAAGTGTGAAGCATCATTAATTAATGATGTTATTAAGGTTAACTAACCATTTATTAAGGATTAATTAAGGCTAAATAAGGTGGAGTTATTATAAAGTTATTAATATTTTTTAAACCTTTCAAACTAAACCTTAAAGGGATAGTCTGGTCATTTTTGAAACAAACCTGGTCGATTAGATGAGAAGTGTTGATGTCAGGTCAGGGAGACGAATGAAACCAGATTTTGGTTCCACTTCTTTATTCTGGAGTCGTGCTTCTGCTGAAAGTCTGCAGAGTGTTTTTCATTATTTACCGTCAGCTGGCTGTCCTTGCTGCAGCTCTGTGTGGGTTTGTGATGYTCCGAATTTTTGTTTCTCATCGTTTTCTGTAAATATGTGTCAAATTTCAACCATAAAATCAGTGGAATCAATGAAATGTTTGAAGTGAAACAGTAGCTGAAAGAAGTGGGATTGTTTTTGTGTTTGCAGGAACTCTGAAGTTGAGTCAGACGTCTCCAGATGTCCCGAACTCGGAGGGGGGAGCCCCCAAAGACCTGCCCAACGCTCACTCTCAGCAGCAGGTCACCCCTCGGTCAGTGCCGAGTCTCCGTGCTCGTCTTCATCAATTCATGCTGTATTTGTCTGCAAACTGCTGAAGGTCCATTATTCAGCATGCAACACTTTTAGTTGTATGCAGTAATTGATTAATTTTAGGTGCAATATCAGGTTTAAATCAGAATTGCGCTTTAAAACATTTAAAATAGCTACAGCCTACATTTAGTAAGTAGTTCTGACACCAGCAGGTATTCAAAAATGTCAAAAACATGGCAAATAAAATCTAAACTAAACAGATTTATCTGCCAAAGTGTCTCTTAGCTGCTGAGTCACACTGTTGTGTAGTGTTACGTGTGATTGTGTGTGTGTTACTCACCCTCTGTGCTGTTCTGTGCACGCTCAGGCCCAAACCCATGACTCACCAGCTCTCCAGCCCTGATTTCCACGGCGAGGAGAAGGAGCAGGTCACCTGCATCGGGCAGATCAAGCCCGAGCTCTACAGGCCCAAAGGCGATCAGGGCGAAGGCAAGCAGGGCGACACCTGCGGCAAGATCTGCTTCCTGCTGCGCTACGCCTTCAAGTAAGCTACCGAGCGGCCCGTCGCTGTGCCCGAGCTTTTCATGCCCATGAATTATTTAAGGTAAAACGTCTGTTTTTATCACCACGTCAGACTTAACTGCTGACTGACCTGCTGATTTGGAAAGTTGATTTTCTAAAACCTAAATTTTGTACATTTCTGACCTCACAAAAGATTATTCCACCACAATGGTTTGTGTGTCTGCAGGATTCATTTTAAAGGAAATATGCAAAAACACTTTTTAGTTGTTAAATACATTTTGTTGTGTAATCGGAGACTATAGGGGGCAGATAATTTAGTTTCTCATGCTGCGTCTAATTTCTTTAGTTTTCTCTATTTTCTATGATGTTTTCTAAACTATTATATTACAGAATTTATAACAGAACTGCTAAATAAGGTCGGGACTTAGCTACAATCTGGTGGTCTTCATTCTCCTCTGGTTCTGGGTCAGACTCTGGTTCTGGATCAGACTCTGGCTCCAACATGTAAGGCTGGATGGACAAGTCTTCTCTTGTTGACGTCTTTTAATTCATTTGTAAATAAAAGGTTTCTGTGCAGCTAAATAGTCGTAAACCTCTCTATCAACCTGGAATGGACCGGTCTGGAAGCTGGAGGGGTGGGGTGGGGTTGAAGCACCTTGTTTRGATTTAAAGAGACAGCCTCAAAACGAGTTGAGACACGCCCCAGAAAAGGGGCGGAGCTTGTTGAGCTACAGTAAGGAGGAATTCAAAGCGTTGCAGTTCCACTTTATAAAGACCCCAACAGAAAGATTTAAATGTTGAAAAGAAGGATTTCGAAGCGTCACGTCTCCTTTAAACATTTCAACAGTCAAACACTTGATAAACTTGATTTACTGTGAGTTTTGTGAAAAGGAAGGTGAGCAGGTTCTGATTTCTTAAGTTTTATCAAAGCAAAGAGCAGAAAGTTGGGGATTTTCTTTAAATGCAAAACTTGTGTTTGTGTTTGTTCAACAAAAAGACAAAATAGAAAAACTTCCAACAGGTTTTTACACTGTAAAAAATGTCCATCTAACCCAATTTTTCAATCTTATATCAGCCAAAAAGTATTTTTGATTCTGTTTTGAGACTGATAACAGAATGTAACTGTCTTACTGCACTGGCAGATTATTTCCCCTAATTTAAGAAGATTCAGATTATAATCCAGTATTTTTTTAAACTTATTTTCATATGGCTACTACTTATTGCAGTGTAACAAATCTGAAGTTAGCGGGCATCATGATATCTAAGGGCTGCTTTAGCTGCGTTTGTTTCTGATAATAATGAATTCGACCGAGTGTCACATCAGAGTTTTAGGTCATCTTATGATGAAAAACAAGTTGTTGACATTAAACAAACTAAGCATGTGTTGTGAACAACTCTCAGCTACTACCACGTCACATTTTAGCTCAGTACATGTACAATTATCTGATTGTTTTCTGTTGGTTAATGTTGATTTGTTGTGACAAAAACATTTTTTTTTACTTTGAGTTCAACAGTTGGTGATGAATGTTTGTGAGGAAGGATTGATGGTTGGAAGTCTCTCTGCAGCCGGTTGTGTCTCAGCAGGCGGTGCTTTATCCTCACCCGCTCTGACACCAAGAAACACTGCAAACGGCTGAAAGTGCTGATGGTCAGAAAATATAAAGGCAGCGACCGCTCCAGTCGTGAATTATATATGATGAGCCCCCTTTTAACAGCAACGCCGTCAACGCCTAATAACACCAGACGTTGTCGGAGTCGAATTACAGCTTCAGAGAATTAAACTGCGGAGCGTGACGCCGAAGCTATCGTTTCCTGGTTTAAAAAGTCACCAGATAATTCACCGTTAGTCACACGTAGAGGAGGAGGAAGCGGACACGTGCAGCAGAGCCGGTGTGGGCATCTGTGTAAAAAAACAGTTGAGGTGCGTTCGCGCCGGCGCTGTAATGAGATGGCTATGTTAATGTGTGACACCCCGCTGTTTGGTGTGTTAACAGTCAGACCAACAATGTCAGTCTCACTAAGGTCTTCTGGGGGAAAACGACGTTTCTATTGACAATCCCATTAAAAGCTGACACATTTCCACCGCGGGAATAACAGCTACCTTTCAGCGTCGTCTGCCAGGAATAAGGTGGTGAGATTTGTTTGAGCTGCGTTCGGGGTGGGGGGTGGGGGGGTTCCCCTCAGCTTGCCTCTGGGATCCAGTCAAACCGCTGGATTTGCTTCAGACTCGTGTATTTTTTTGTAACACAGGAGAGGAGAAACTGTGCATCCGTTTTGTTTTATCAAAGACTTGGACTGAGGTGAATAACCAGAGAATAATAAATAAAAGCTAAAAGAAACAAAATGCTAGCTAAAATCTCTAATTAAAAGGAACCAGATACAGCATAGTGGAAGCTGCACCAATGCACCAGAACTCACCAGAACAGATTTATT